TGTAACTGTCTCGTATGCTTAATGGACTAACAACCTACGAAAGTGTAGTTTTACAAAAGCTTAGTTTACAGAGCCGAGCTCCTGATCCAGCAATCGCAGAAAGCCTGGTGCCGCCACCGAGACCCGGTTGCAGGGCTGGGGTGTGCGAGCCGTCTGTGATCATGGAGGGCTGTGAAAGCGTAACGTCAGTGTTAATAATGGTACAGTTAGGAGTGCAGATAGGCATAAAGCTCCATCAAAAACATTACACGCTAACAATTGGAACATCTCCTACCAGTCACTGAATGTTTATGCCGTCTCGATGCTTGGTCAGATCATATCCCTGTGTGATTTTTCTTGAGTTGGGTTGAAAACACCTGTAAATAAGTCTGCTGATAGGAACGCCGACAAACCTTGGCCTGTAGGAGTGTTGGGAGCTGCTACAGGGTCCTGCTGCTTTGATGTACTGAACTAATAAAACTGCTATGTGATGCTGTGTGCTGCCTTAAAATCTTTTGTTGTTCTTTTCAAGCTAGAGTATTAATGTTTGGGGGTGATTGTGAAGACATGCAAATGCAGGCTGCGCTTAGCATGAGGCAGTTGTTCATCTTTGTTTTTCAACAAAGTTGTAAGATAACTATGCAAATGTATTTTATTAAAGGGACGCATAAAAGGATCTAGTTTGTCTGTTGTGGTTTTTTTTGTCCATCTGGGGAAGATTTTTTCCCATCTGCATAGCTTGGTATGAGCATTATATTACCTGGCTCTGTGATGGAGCGACTTAATTTTGCTTTTTACCTTTTGAAAATTGAATCATAAATTTCTTCTGTTGTAGCAAAGAGAGTATACTGCATATACTGATTAGGGGAGAGTAGATAAAAGTCTTTATTATGTTTCCCAGGGCCTGATGGAAACCAGCCTTTCCACAGCAGCAGATTTCTTGGATTACTTCCTTTCACAGGTTTGAGGAGGCACAGAGGCTACTGGCAGCTACAGGCAGTGACAGGAGTACCTTACAAGTGAATTAGCCTTATGTGTGCTGGCAGAGATTATAAAGTGGCCACGAGTGATGGATACCATCAGTCTGCTCTCTGGCTGTACTAAAGGGACTGTTCTAATGCCAGCCCATGGTACTTAAGGTGAGGTGCAGGCTTTCTGTGGTAGTCTGGGAAAATAGAGGCAGGCTAATACAGGCAGAAAAACCCCAACTCTCACCTGTGTTTTACAGCCGTATCAGCTGCTTTGAGCTAAAAAAACAAAACAAAACAGAAACACCCCCCCACACACACCCCGCAGAACCCCCACAGCCCTAAACAAACCAGGCTGTTTCCTTACAAATGCAATTTCTATAGACCACCTCTACCCCTAAATATTCCTAACTGGTGACCCAAAGATGATGCCTCTGGGATAGATAGATCCTTCAGGACAAGTGCCTGAGCCCATGTTTGAGGCTTAATATGTCTTTCCAGAGCTTTCATTTTTAATGGGTTTTTTCATTGTTGAGTGGGGAAGTTTGTTGGGGAAACAGACAAAGCACTCAGTGCCCAAGCAGATCTGGGTATCTTTGAAAGCCTTTTATCCATCTGTTTTTCACCTCAGTTCTCTGAAATTGGCTTTTAAGTGAATTTTAATTCACTTTCCATTTTTTAACAAAGAAAAAAATTATTTTTCTTAAATTGTGATAGTTCTCATTAATCTTTCTTTCACTGGAGGATTTCTTTTCTTCAGAAAGTGTCACTCTTCCCCTTGAACTTACTCAAATCCAAAATATGTCAGTAATTCGAAAGGTTTTCTCCCCCAGCACTCTCTGGTTTTTCAGGGATTTGAATCTTCTGCAGAGTAGAACATCTTTTGACTGAAATTCAGTAGTTTTTCATGCAGGGTGAGTTATGTTAGTAGGAAGAAAGTATTTCTTGTTCAGGTACATTTGGAGAGGGAGGTATAATTTTAAACATAACTTTAGAGACTGGGATTTCCTATTCATAAACTCTCCAGTTTGTTTTACCCTGCCCCTGCAAGGCAGCTGCTTCCTTATCTTGGAGAGCAAGATTTATCAGGACAGGTACCACAGGAGGCAGTAGGCATTGCTCTCTTGCTCTGCCCTAAGTTTCAAAGGTGCCAGACACCCTCTCCTTGCTCCGTTAGATGTTGTTCTCGGGAGAGAGCGAGGCAGGTCATGCCCCAGGTTGGCTGAACAGCCTGGCAGTGCCCTGCTCTGGCTTCTCCTCCAAAGGTGATGTAAACTTCTTATCTTGTCAACAGAGCCTCCAGCGTGGGCAGCTGAGATTCCTCTCTGCAGGCTCTCCCAAAAATCTCACTGCTTTTAATTAGCTCTGTGGGGAGCTTGGGATCAAGCTTCACAAGACAGAAGCCAAACCAACAGCTTTCTGCTGTCAAAAAAAGGCAGTTTACTGCTTCTGCACACATTCCTGGCCGCTAAACTAGCAGAAAACTGCTGTTTTCTTTTTCCCCCTTGGGAGCTGTTTGCTGCCAGGGTGTGAGCTGGGAGTCAGAGAAGTGCCAGAACTGATGCAAGAAAAGGAGGGAACAGAAATGGGGGAGGAGAATGGGTAGAGATGTAGGTCCACCCTTTCCGTACCAGCCAGCCCATGGGTTGCTATGGCCACTTCGGAAAAACATTGGCAAATGCAGCAGGCAGGTTTTATTCTCTGTCTCATTCTCCTCTCTTCCCTTCAGATCCAAACACCTCAATTCACCCTCTAAAACCAGATGTGTGGGATTGCATACTGTGTTTTTATGCCAGTATCATCAGACCCATCAAAATGCGTTCTCACTAGTGCTTATGTAAACATAAAATAGCACTCGTCCTTTCATCCCCAAAGCTGGCAGTCCAAACACAAGGTTAGTGCAGGAGCCAGTTAATTTAACTGCATTTTTTAATCTGATAATGAGTTTATAAGCCAAATCTCTTTTAGGTGCATTTAAAAAGGCCTGTTTTCCTTGCAGTGTTTGCTTCAACTTCAAGTAGACAGCATGAGACAGGCACAAATCCCAGCGTGTGGGTTGTTCTGACAGCTGCAATACAAGCAAACAGCAACGGGAGCTTCGGTGCGTCCCTGCTGTAGTTGCAGGAGTGTACTTCGTAGTAGAAAAGAGCAGCACGTGGTCAAAGCTGAGACTTCCAAATCTGGACAAATAAAGTCTCGTTACTGTGTGAGCCCTTGATTATCCTAAAATTTCATGTCTTGGGAACCAGGTGGGCTTAGACTCAGTACTGTACAGTCTAAAGAATGACACCAGAATCCAGAAGTAGCACGCGTTGGCCATGGTCAGTCTTGATGGACTGAGATACCGAACTGCATAGCAATCACTTCGATCTGTAACTTTGCTCCTTTTTCTCATGTAGTTTTGGCCTGATTGTAACTTTGGGAATAACTAAGGCCAGAAGCAGCACTGTGCATGATCAAAAGAGCTGCAATCCCAGATCTCTTAATAAAAAGTGTTTTTTCAAATCTTGTCAGAAAGCTTAAGATCTGTGATCCTCCTTAGGGGTACACAACGGAACTGAATAGTCCAGATTTTAAATCTAGCTATTGCCTTTACTGCTTTACTTCTTTGTGGTGTTCATAGGGGTTTCCCTGTTAAAATACTTCGCATAGTATCATAAAACTTAATTTGACCAGTGTTTCTCTTTTGCTGAAGGTTGCTGCTCCTCCAGAGAAGCTTGATGCCTGTCCTCAGGAAGCGCACAAGCCTGGGAGGTTCCCTTTAGGCCACTGTCGCATCAAGTTTAGCCTAATGTTTAGTGTTTCTTGGGGTTTTTTTCCCCCAAATTTATTACTGACTTATTTGCATTTCAGTATTTCAAGCAGCTTTCCCATAAACAGATCTATACATTGGCAGGGAATAGAATAAAGTCACAGTCTAGTGTCCCAGATCTGTTAGGATGGCAAGGGAGATGCAGCCCTTCCTTTCACAACACCTGGAAACTTTCAAAAAGTATCGTTCCTCTTCAAGTGCCAGACCTAAAGGAGTCCCTGCAATGTCATTTGTGCTCTTCTGCAAAACCCACAGTTCACGTTGTTTCAGAATCTGGTGCCATCACACCAAGCGATAGATGTATGTTGTTAAATGCTCCATAATTGTTTCTATTTTTATTTTCCCCCACCCCGTTACTTTGCAGTACTGTGCTAGTATGTGATCAGAGGGATCAGAGCTTGACTTTCTGTGCTCTCCTTTACCCATTTAAACATATACAACGCTTTGTTTTTACCCGTTTTCAGTTCATTTACTAAATGTCAAATGTTGTCATGCTTACTAACATGGATCCAGTAGAGAAAAAGCCGTGTGGAGCTGCAGGGTCTGCATGTTGTTACAGGAAACTTGGGGTTTGTGTCATTGAACGTCTGTGTGTTCCTGGGCATGATTTTGATTATTCACACTCGATGCACAAAAATAATTCCAACATATTTTAAGCTTATTTTGTTCCTAAATGAGAAAAAAAGCTGTGCAACTATCGCATTATACATTATAACTTGACAAATTCGTACTGGTGGTTTGTATAATCAATTAATAACCGAGGCAGAGTGCTTTAGAAATGGGGTGGAGATGAAAGGTGCAATGTCATAAGCCAGAACCAGACACATTTTAGATGACTTCATCTCACAAAAGGCATTGTATAAGGTAAGAGAAAATCACAGGTTTGAAATGGTGTGGCAGAAAAGAAAACGAGGTGAGAAAAATCACGAGGCAAATGGAGTGGCAGGAAGTCTGCAATTCTTATTTGGTTATCACAGTACAAGGACAAGGGACGTTTGAAGAAATAAAAAGGTGACACTGAAAAATGACATAAAGGGGGGTGGCGGCTGATCACAACATCACTCAATTTTGAAACCTGCTGCTACTTTGGACAGGGTTTTACCACTGTTCATATAGTCTGAACAATAGGCTGGTGCATGTTGATGCAATTTTGTTAGTTCATCAGATCTGATGGCCTGAGTGGGATCTAAACTACTGACTTACTTCTTCTAGGGTGTACTGACCTCCAGAGCCTCGACACCATGCAGCCGATGGAAAGGAAAAGGCAGGGCTACATTCACGAACTCATTCAGACTGAAGAAAGGTACATGGACGATCTTCAGCTTGTCTTGGAGGTGAGATGTCTTGGATGGGAAAATGCATTTGGAAAAAGAACACTTCTGTCCTACTGAATAACAGCAGTAAAGGAGTTCTTCCAAACTGTGAAATGCTTGAGGACGAAAGTGAGGTTGTGTGAGCACTCCCTTTCTAGCGAGTGTTATGTGGTTGTCCACCAGGCACAAGCATCACGCTGGGAAAGCCATCGTCTTACAAGGACCTTCGTGTCTTCCAAATCCTGTTCTTAGGGGTTTGGGCTCAGTGTAAAGATGCTGGGCTGGGCTGAGTTGCCTGGCAAAGCTGCACAGGCTCACGACAGAAGCTGTATAAGCACCATAAAAGTTTATTGTCTGCCTTTGTCTCCAGTTTTATTTCTGGAAGCAAGACCAGGGCAGAGCAGGAACTGGCCAGCATGAGGTGGTCTTGGGCATCTGACTCGACTTCTCTGCGTAAAACAGCTGCGTGGTGAAGTGTTAAAGCTGTTAAATAGACTGAGTTACACGGGTATTCTGCCCTCCAGAGGCACTGTGCTGCAGGCCCCTGGAAGAAGCTGTAGTTCTCCCAGCAGGGTGACTGTGAGTGCTCTGGGTACGGGGATAGATGTGATGCATAAATGCGATTTGTGTTAACAACTGACTCCAAAATCATGGGAATGCTGAACAGTCAGCCTGCAGGTCCCAGTGCTTGTCCCTGCTTCACAAATGGTGATGCCGGTGTCAGGAGGTCACACACTTAGGAAAAATAGCGACAGCTGTTGCAAGTGCTAGTGAGGAATTGCTTTTAACTTCTCCTGAGAAACTGAGGATTCAAAAAAAAGCAAAATCACTGCTAGGCTGAACAAGAGGCTGAGCTGCTTTTCTCTCTGAAGAGTTGCTCACCTTTCTGATATTTTGGCTGCAGGTTTTCCAAAAACCGATGGCTGATTCGGGCTGTCTCACAGAAGGAGAAATGGGGCTGATCTTTGTTAATTGGAAGGAACTCATCATGTCAAACACAAAGTTACTGAAGTGAGTACTTACCCACATTTGTATGTTTTCATCTTTATTTTCTTGTTCCTTTCCCCAGGAGGTTTTCTGGGTTTACAGTAAATATTTCTGTCCTTGCTGATTATTTCCTGTGTATGCAGCATTCAGAACAGATAAATGCATTCAGACTGCCTCACAAAGGAGGAGAGCGAGGGGAATAAATAGCAAAATCAGATGCACATGTGCTGTCATACCTTAGAAACAGAGCCTACACAAAAGCATGTGCATAGGAGGCGTTCCTCCCAATATTCTGCAAAACAACCTTCTATTCTCTAAAAATAAACTTTGAAGACACAAAGTGACTAATAATTCATTGAAATGGGACGCTGGTTGAATGTAGAGATTGATGCCAATTGTCCCAGAGTCTCGGTCCCGCAGACCCCATCAGGCAGATCGTTCAGCTCAGTGTGTTGTGCCGGTGACTTCCTGGGGGTTCCGGCTGGACCCCGCACTGCCTGGCAGTGCCGGCGCTGTGCCAGGGAATTCCCCTCGCAGGCTCGCGTCCTTCCAGGGATGGAGGTTGTAGGGATCTTGATTTCAGCCTCGCAGACTTGGCAGCAAAGTTGGATGGTGATTTCTTTCCTCTTCAGAGCCTTGCGAGTGCGTAAGAAAACAGGAGGAGAGAAGATGCCAGTGCAGATGATTGGGGACATCTTGGCAGCCGAGCTCTCTCACATGCAGGCATACATTCGGTTCTGCAGCTGCCAGCTTAACGGAGCTTCGCTGCTGCAGCAGAAAACTGATGAAGATGCTGATTTCAAAGACTACTTAAAGGTATCTTATTCAGTAGCTTTTCTGCCTTCTCCTTTCCTCAATGACAGCACCGACCAGATCAAAATAACCCAAAAGAGTAAAATCTTGCAAAAAAAGCTAAGAACCTTCAAAGGTCTATTTATGTGACTGTGGTTAACACCATATGTGCTTTTTATTCATACACCTGTCTTTCTCTCTAGCTAATTTATGGTTCCATTTCCCATTCCATTGCTCCTTAGTTCAGTGTAATACTAATCCCACAAAGCTACAGTGCCAGTGTCTGCACCTTCCCAAAAATTCATGCTGTCAGAAGGGGTAAGAGTCTGTGGAGTTGAAATAAAAAAGCTGCTGTTCAGAACACGCTGGTAATTCAGCGGGGCGTGCAGCGTGTCTGAAGGGTGGAGTTGCAGTGGGGGCCAGAGGTGTGCCGTGAGCGTCGCAGGCAGGCAGCCACGCTGCAGAAGTAAATAAGGAATCACTGCCACACTGCCGTTGATTGACTTTGAGGCCATGAAAGGAAAAATGCCAGAACTATTGACATCAGGTGTTTGTTTCTTTCATTGCTTTGTTTTTTTTCAACCTGAGTGGAGCCTGTAATGTCGAAGTAAAAGCTGGAACGGTTTTGAATGTAAGGATTCTGTGTGAACAATGATCCTACAGCTTATGCTGGCAAAGCGCCCAAGTACAATGACAGCACCAGCTTTGCAGTTTGTTCTAGGTACAGGTATTATTTGCTTACCGAAAAATCTAAGATTTCTTGGAATGCCTGGAAAAATGAATCTGATCAGATTGTTTTCAGTGCGATGAGGCAACTGTTTCTCGACGAGTAATGCAATGTCTCTGTTGCACCATAGAAACTTGCCTTGGACCCTCGCTGCAAAGGAATGCCCCTCTCCAGCTTCCTCCTGAAACCTATGCAACGAATAACCCGCTACCCTCTGCTCATCAAGAGCGTGAGTACCCTAAGCGAGCTTTCGTAGGTGAATGCTTTTGAGTTCAATCTCGATAGCAAAAGCAAAAAACCCCTTTGTCCCTTTACAGGGATTTCTTGGAGAGTGTGGAGAAGCAGTACCTGTGTTTACTTCTGTTTTTATCTTGTTTTCTCCTCTCTTTGATCCGTACCAGATTCTGGAGAACACTCCAGAAAACCACCCCGATCACAGTAACCTCAAGCTGGCCTTGGAGCGTGCGGAGGAGCTGTGCTCTCAGGTGAACGAAGGCGTGCGTGAGAAGGAGAACTCGGACAGGCTGGAGTGGATACAGTCCCACGTCCAGTGTGAAGGTCTTGCTGAGGTAGCTGCATTGATAACACTGTTTGGTGGAGATTTTTCCGAGTCATTTCAGAAAGGCCTGTGGAGGGGGGGAAACGGGAGCCCTCCCTCACATCCGTTATTGGAGCATGATCTGCTGCTGAGCTCTTGGCCAAGAAGCTTTTATTAAATTCTGCTCACAGCCATAATGTGATGAGCCCTCGTTTTTGCATAATTTTGGCAATGGAGAAAATGTTGGTTTATCAGCTTCAAACTCATATCATTTAAACAGTTGAATGAACAGAAATAAAATCTCAGAAGTTCTGCTCATGCTGCCTTTGGGCTAAATTACTACGTGGAATTTCACTTAGTGTGTGTTTCCCAGGGTTTTCCTTCAGGAAGAAAGGGCACAGAAGCCCTCAGTGCCAGATCCTCAAGGCATGTGGGGTTCAGGCTCCTGTACCTTGCAGGACAGCCTTCAAAATGAGGTGGTGTGACCAGGTCTCCACGGGCTGTGTAAGGAACCAGGGCCCGACAGGCCCAGGTCTGTCCCAGTTCTACCACCTTTACCACCATGTTGTTGGTAAAGCTTACGTCTACTTTAAGTTAGGAGTAGTGCTGATACTGTGTCAGATCATAAAACCGTTTCCCTTCTCTTTGTAACTAAATTAATTGAATGAAACAGAAGAGCATTTTGAACAGCATGAGAAGCTGTTGTCTTCATTAATTTGCTGCTGCTCACGGGTTTTGTCTCTCCTAGCAACCGGTGTTCAACTCCCTCACAAACTGCTTGGGACCACGGAAACTCCTGCACAGTGGGAAGCTGTACAAGGCCAAGAGCAATAAGGAGCTGTACGGCTTCCTGTTCAATGACTTCCTCCTGCTCACCTACATGGTTAAACAGTTTGTCTCTTCCAGCTCCGAGAAACTGTTCAGTCCCAAATCCAACTCCCAGTTCAAAATGTACAAAATGGTGAGTGAATGAAGATGCCCCGTGGTCATGTTGATAGGGTGGGTCCTGGTTTCTGATGAGGAATGCTGTTCTCCCAGCTAGGATTAGCCACCGTTTGCTGTCATACCGGCTCATGTGCCGTTTGGCTTAGTCCCTGGAAAAGAATAGGCTTCTGTGTCTTGGTTTAATAAACACTTCTGTCCACTTTGGGGTGAAAGGGCAGAAACAGCATCGTCCCTGAGCAGCTGAGTGGGATGTTCAGAAGCAGGAGCCTTGACTTAAATTTTGCACAAGCTCCTGCATCCACAAGACAATACCTGTCCTTCCTCAGAGAACAGTAAAAGGTGCAAAACTCTAGTCTCTGTGTCCACACAGTGTGTGTTCTCAAGACTTTGGAGTTGGGGAGATAAGTATCAGGGCTGCTTTCGGACAGAGACCCTGAGAGATTTGCAGGATTTCCAAGTTCTGCGCTGCAGCTGTGCTGACGCAGTCCTGCCCCTTTCACGAAGCTCTTCATCTAGGAACACAGGATGGGGTGCATCACCAGAGGAGTTTTTCTCTCAGTCCTTTCCCACATCCTTTCTATGGTAGTCTGAGTGTTCGTCCTGGCTCCTACAACTTTCATTTTCCCTACCATAGAACAATGTATTTGAACGTCCTTGTAGAGTTTCCGCTTATTGTCAGGCTGATGCTGCCACAGTGACATTTGCTTCTCTTTCAGCCTGTTTTCCTTAACGAAGTCCTAGTGAAACTGCCCACAGACCCTTCCAGTGATGAGCCAGTTTTCCACATATCACACATTGACAGAGTTTACACCCTTAAAACTGACAACATTAACGAGCGGTGAGTAGTGAAATGCTGATCTGAGCTGAAACTTGACCGTGGCTGTAGGCTCTGTTCCCGGTGAGCAGAGGTGGGGGTCTCTAAGCTCAAGAACAGGGTTTAGTCTCTCGGTCAGGAAATAAAACTCGTTTGACTCTCGTTTGCATTACAAGTTTTCTGTGGTTTTGTTCTGAAACCAGCACCGGGGTGGGGGGAAAAATTTCAGAAGAGCTTGGGGCAGAGTCACTGACACTGAAGAATTTCCTGCCTGCGCTATGACCCTGACCATAGGGATTGCTCTTTGCAGCACTGCCTGGGTCCAGAAAATCAAAGCAGCATCCGAGCAGTACATTGAAACCGAGAAGAAGAAACGTGAGAAGGCTTATCAAGGTACCTGCCAAGTTCTGTATTTCCCTCCCATCCACCGGGACACGTGGGCAGGGCCTTTTCTGGAGGGTGCCACGGTGTCTGTGTAGGATCACCCTCTTCGGATCTATTGCCAGTTTCTCAGTTGCAACCAATCTGTTCATTTCTGATTTCTTTGTTCCCAGCTCGCTCACAGAAGACCTCAGGAATAGGACGCTTGATGGTGCACGTGATTGAAGCGACAGAGCTAAAGGCCTGTAAGCCCAACGGTAAGTGACGGAAATTGTGTCAAATCACTTTCATTCCTGCAACGTTTGGAAAGGCTTGCTGAGGGGAGTTTGGTGATTTGGGAAACACTGTGGCTTCAGCTACAGCTTTGGAATGGCTACAGCCATTATTTAATTCAGAGGACCGAGTGAAGAACCAGCCCTGTGCTGCTCTAGGGTGTAGGGAGTGCCTGACCCACACCTTCTGGCCAGCAGCGTCGATGTGTGTCCAGGCACCCCCAGACAGGGAGGGAGGTTTCTGCGCTGCAGAGGTGTTTCACGGCTTGTTCTGTGTTTAGGGAAGAGCAACCCATACTGTGAAATCAGCATGGGCTCTCAGAGCTACACCACGAGGACGCTGCAGGACACCCTGAACCCCAAGTGGAACTTCAACTGCCAGTTCTTCATCAAGGATCTGTATCAGGATGTCCTGTGCATCACCATGTTCGACAGGGATCAGTTCTCGCCTGATGGTAAGGCTGAACATTTGTTTTAGGAAAATAATGCTTTTTTGTGACCTGGGATACACAGTTCCTCACCAGGAGTTCTGAGAGCCTGTAGGTATGCTTGCTTCTGTTGGATAAAAACAATGCCTCCTTACTGAAGAGGTTTAATAGCCTTCCAGAGCCAACAGCTCTGGGCAGTCAGCCTTGATCCCACTCTGGCTTTTGTATCAGACACAGAATTATTGTTTTCTCAGACTGGGGAGACAGAGAAGTTGAAAGCAGTTTTTCTCTCACACTACAGGTGCCTAAAAACAAGGTGCTAGGTTATATTTGCACAGCAGCAGCTTGATAAGCTTTCTTTTTTGCTTGGAAACTGAACATGGTTTTGGCAGTCAGTAGCTTCTAGTACAAGGTGAAGTGCTCTTCCAGGGCTCAGACACACCGCTGGTTATTGCAGATCTGCAAGGCACTCCCTTGACCCTGTGTTTCCCTATAGCTCACTCTGTTCTCCTGGCAATGCGACTTTGCTAGGCTGCTTCTCCGCATTGCACAGCTGTGTCTGTTGTTTTTCAGTTCATGGCAAAACCTTTTTACTGCACACACACACACAAAGATGTTTACATATGAAATGTCCACAAAACATATATAATTTATGAATAGGACTGTAAACCTGCTAGCAGCAATAATTGTTCAAGGTCATTATTCTTGTGAAAAGAATGATATATAAGCCTAATTAAAAGTTGGCTGAGCCAAAATAGATGCATTTTTTTCCATCACTTAACTCTGACCTTCCAGCTCTAAGACAGGAGAACATTGGAGATTGTGTTTCTGAAAGGGAACTAAATGTATTTTTAAAGCCCTTAGGTCAAGCTGTGACATACATTTTGTCTTCCAAAAAGACTTTTTGTCACTGCTGGCTGATGGACACAGGGCTGAGGGCTAGTCAGACTGGAAGCTTGGGAGCAGTGCTCTTGAGCTGAGTATATACTACATGGCATTGCTGCTTAACCTGACACTTTCACATTTCCTAAGCTCAATGTATTTGCTTAATGAAATTTCTTATTCGTTTTCCCAACAGATTTTTTAGGTCGCACTGAAGTCCCAGTAGCAAAAATCAGAACAGAACAAGAAAGCAAAGGCCCCACGACAAAACACCTACTGCTGCATGAAGTTCCAACAGGTGAAGTCTGGGTCCGTTTTGACCTGCAGCTCTTTGATCAGAAAACACTCGTCTAAGAACATTTTTTTTTAATTTATGAAGGACAACTGAAGCTGACAGCCTGAACACTTTTTGTAAAAGATTCCTTGCCCTATGCTGGTTATTAAGCAAGAGTTCCTGCTGCTTCCATATTTCCTCTTAGTTCCCGGTTGCATTCAGTTCCTTGCAGCGTTCAAAGTTGTTGTTGATCTATGCAAACACAAATGTTACTGTATACACAGTACTATAGCTCAGTGCCTTTTTATTATGTTGGAATATGTTGGGTTTGGATGCCAATGTTTCCATTTTCAGGGCCATAAAAAGTATTAAGTAGAAATGTGGCATCAAGATGTATGTATATTTTACCACTAGGTGTAACATATAGACTGAGGAATGGTTTAGCTCAGCACTAGAATCATTCCATTTGAAATCTGAAAAGTGATATCCACTGGAATCTTCTCATCTCAGGATGATAGTTTTAAAGATTAAATACTGAAGAAGCCTTAGCACTGGAGAAGTCTCTGATATATTGTATATTCTTTAAGAATTAAGTGTAGTTCCTTACTTGACTTAGTTCTGCACTGAAATCAGTTAACTGCTACTTTATTTTTCTTTCTGCTTCAGTTTGATTCATCATTCTCTGCTGAGACAATGTGGTTGTGAAGAATAACTAGAAAAAAAATATTTTAAATACTGTGACCCACAGCAATGTGGAAAAATACTTTTCAGCTTTTGTTTTTTTCCTAAATATAAGTTATTTGTGTACATTTCCTTGGTCTTGCAGACCTCCATGTGAAGCTTTGACATTGCCAACATGTATATAGAGAGTAAAATATAAGTTTATTAATGTAATTTGTCTACAGATGTTTATTGATGCATAGTGATTTTTAAAAAGTATATTTTATTGTACAGGGGACTGTGAAATAATGAGAAAAGCTTATAGGATTAAATTCAAGAAAAGTTTATTACAAGTTTAAAAGGTTTGCTCGGGGGAACTGTCACCCTACCATCAATCTGTAAGATGAGATTGGTTGAAAGCAAAAACTTGGTCTCTTAGCACCAAAATCACGGATGGTTTAAAAAAAAATAAATTGTTTCCAAAGGGTTTGATACATTGTAACCATTTGCCTCCAACCACTTTGTTGAAAAGCACAGCATGCAATGCTGACCAGTGCGTGCCCCTGTGTTCCCTGGGTGCAGCAATACCTCCTCCTGTCTGACAGTTTCACACCCCACTGCCATCTGTGTACCCTCATAGTACAGGGCTGAGTCACCCTCTGTTACTTTTAACAGTTTTCTGTGGTTCAGTATTTCTAATCCGAAATAAAACTAAATCTTGGCAACTCTTGAGAGACTCTGTCTATACACTGGGAGTTTGGCGCTTCTTGAACTTGCACAGAGAAAATTCTGTTGTCAGGCTTTGACACCAGAGCTGCTGTGCAGCCACACTGGCAGGGAGACAGAGACCACACTGGGACAAGAGAGAAACTCCTCATTCAAAGAGCAGGTTTGTTCTTACAGCTCAAGGTGAGGTAGTCTTTAGAGCTGCATACAAAATTGCAACAGCTGTAGCTGAAACTTCGCAAGCCTTGACGTTCCAGCTGCTAACATTCACACATCTTGTAATATGAAATACAGCAGACTCAGGGTTGAAGCTGTTGCCAGAGTCAGGGATAAACTGGCAGGGAGACAGAGACCACACTGGGACAAGAGAGAAACTCCTCATTCAAAGAGCAGGTTTGTTCTTACAGCTCAAGGTGAGGTAGTCTTTAGAGCTGCATACAAAATTGCAACAGCTGTAGCTGAAACTTCGCAAGCCTTGACGTTCACACATCTTGTAATATGAAATACAGCGGACTCAGGGCTGCAGCTGTTGCCAGAGCCAGGGATAACATTCATATAGATTCTGTACTGCATAGACGAGGGGCCTAGTTCTAACTTTTCTCACCAGTTCATCTCTTTAATACACAGACTGCATCACCCTATGAACCAGAGAACACCAGAACTGTCTTTGTAGAGTTGAGCCTAAGTTAAACCTCCTAAAAGAGCAGGGTTTGGCCTGTAGAGCATGAAGTGGAGCTGGAAATAACAGGAGCAGCATCTCAAAGCATTTCTTTGGCTGCTGGGTAACATTACTTCAGAACCACATGTTTAAGACCATGAGTTTATTGCAGTTTGCCAACAGACCTGGCCTCTGATCACTCGCTTTGGCAGAAGACATAACATATATTTTGCAACTGGTACCTTCTGATGGCTGTGCCTGCTGCTGCAGTCAGCTGGAAGACTGGTGACACCACTGGCTCCCACCATCTTTGTGCTGGTTGATGGCCTTCTGCCTTTAAACAGAAATAAATATTATTGACAGTCCACAAAACACGGAGGCTGCTGCAGCCCACCACAGCTTCCTGTACTACCCGCAGGCCATCTGTAGGGCTGGCTGCAGGGCTGCGTGCAGCAAATGTAGAAACTCCCCACCAAAAGCCACTTTATTTCAAGGCTCAGCTTGACCCTCAGTGCTCTGTTTTAATACATCTTGCTGCCTACTCCATACTTGAAGCCTTTCCCTTCACCAACACTCCTCTCTCAGGAGAAATACACAGTAAAGCAGAATTCATCATGAAATTTAAGTTTTAGCAAATACTTTGCTACGCAGCCAAGCAGGAGAGGCCTCATCCCCTGTAGCTGTTGTGCAGCCTCTCAACAAACACTAGCTCTCACCTCTTCGTCCGGTGGACATCACTAGCAATGTAGGCGTGCGGTATCTTCAGCCACTCAACTGCATCCATACGCTGCCGGCTCAAAGGAAGCAGTGGCAGTTCTGCTTTGCTGAGTTCGTTCAGCTCTCTGGAAGAACACGGTTGTCCTGGTGGGAAAGTAACAAGAGCTGTCACAAGCAGGATGCCCCCCCATATGAACCACTTCCAAAGGATACCAATTGTTTAAAATACCTGTCTCACACTGCTTGATAATGCCTGCCTCAATAAACTTTCTTTGAATGGCTTTTAACAGAGGATCCTGTAAAGGTGGTATTGAAACCTGTGACAGAGACAGTTATTACATGCTTACGCACCAACACAAGCACTTTGTCAGGGTCTCAAAGTCAAAGCTGAATGTCAAGGTACCGCTGGTTAGCAGGGAAACTCATTTTTTATGAATAAAACATGAGGCATGGACCTGAGTGGCCTGAGAAACACTGAAACTCAGCTCCTCAGGCAGGTCATAAGGCATCCAACAACTCTGCCACAAAGTCAGACCACAGACGTAAGATCTGATCTCCTGGAGGCAGTTGATCCTGATGAACCCTGTGTAGCACATTGCAGTGAAGTGTCAGCTCAGTCCCCACAGCTGCTGAGGGCTCACGGCATCCAGAACTGCACTTCACGGCTTTGTGTCCAAGTCCTACCTAACTCTTCTACTAGGTACTTAAGTCTTTGGATCATCTGCACTGTCAGATTGTTTCCTTCTACAGAGCACACAGCCAGCTTGCCTGGGAACTCACCACCTCTCGTTAGACAGGACGCTTCCCACACTGCTGCAATTAATTTGAAATGAGGAAAGCAGACCTCTCCCCTGCCACTGCCTACTGTGCCTCCAAATCTGGGCTTAGTATGGATCCAAAACATGTTCCTGGTGAAAACCATTTTCAAACACTCTTTGGCCTCAATGCAGTAGGAGCTGGGACCAATATTTGTTAATAAAACTAGAATGTGTTGTCCTACACCAGCCCTACAGCGGCACATCAGTGACACGCTCTGCCTCCTCTCTAACCACTAACTTCCTGCTGGTCAAAGGTGTCTCTCAAACTCACGGTTAAATAACCATCACACCTTCCAGCAGTCTGTAGACGTCTTCAGGAAGAAGGGATCATACTCGGATGGGTCATAAACTTCCAAAGCCACATAGCCCTGTAGGAGAAGCAGGCACCGGGTCAGGTCTCAGAAGCTATCGGAGATAAAACAGTGAGAGAGGAGCCAGCCTAGGTATTGCACAGCCAGGTGTGGTAAGAACACGGCACCAGAGGCAGTGGAGAAAAGGACTCACGAATTTTCACACACTGCACCTCAGAAGGAAGGTGACTGAAGTGTAACAGGAAAGTTCCTCCATCCATTTTAATTTATCATAGGCATAAATACATAATCAATGATTTCATGGAGCATCCAGAAATAATTACAGGCTAAAATGATAATCACAACTAGGGCAGTCAAGAAAATGGAAATTTTGTTCAAGGGAAAATGTTTTGATGGAGAAGAAAACAGGTATTAGAAAGAAAAGGAAAAAAGAAAGCAGTGACTGAGCCCCCACCAGCCACAGCCCTAGGCAAGGTGCTTGTCTGCGAGATGCAAGCTCCAAGTCTAGCTCAAGAGCATGATTTTCTATCTATATATGAGTAAAAACTGGAACCATACATAACAGTCCAGACCACAGCTCCATCTCTTCAAGAACTCTGCTTGCAACAAACTTCATATTCTGCAGCTCAAGTTCCCTATGACCGGAGTTATCTGGGGAACAGCAAGCACCACCACTTGGCGCTGACTATTGATGCCAAGACCAAAGAACACCAGATCAAACAGGCTCTCAAGAAGCTGAACAGAGACTGAGGTCAACACACTGATCAAGCCTGATGCTGAGAATGCTGTCGTACAACCATTTGTCTCCAAATTATAATGCACTGTTTACAGCCAATAAGCCAGGACTTACCTAAATGGCATCAAATAAAAGAGCTGTACAGAGGAGACAACAAAACACAGAAGTGAAGAAAAAAAAGAACAGAGGCCACAAGTGATGCCCTAAGAATACTAAGCACACGGAAATCATATAAAATACTTCTCCCTAATACTCTCAGTCATTCTTCCAAAACCATGGAAATTACATTTTTCAGCTTTCCTGTGCAGATGATTTTCCACAGGTCCCAGGAAGGAAGCCCATGGCCTTCTAGATCTCAGCGTACACAGTTCCTTTTGGCAATCTGTGAATGTGATTTCAAGTTGCGAGTCGGAAAAAATACACGTTAACCTGAACAGATGAAGAGTGCTGCAAGATGAATCCAAACCAAAGTCCAGACACTCAGCAAGCACCTGGGCAGCTACACGGGGCTTTAGCTCTGCCAAGCGTGAACATTCCTGCCTCTGCAGCGGCCTCTGCTCCCCAGGATCTGGCAATTCCCCAGACAGAAAGCAGCAGCCGCACTCACAGTTTCCCATTTCTGTCCCAGGAAAGAGTTAAGCCCTGCCATGCCTCAATTTGCAGAGTTTTGGTGCCACCCACCATTACAAGGTGTGCCAAGACCTCAGAGAACTGTTGTAGCTGCTGTGCAGCACACCCATGTTTGATCCCTTCAAGCAGTCCATGTACCATCACTCACACACCCCGTGGCAGAAAGCAGAGTAACAGCCTGCTCTTAAAAATGAGCCAGAAGGGTCTCTGACTCTGCCGCATTTCAGCACACAATGCCTGCAATATCCTGGACTACCAGAAGCTGAGTTGTGGCTAATACAGCAGCAACCCAGGCCAGGGAAACTTTCCCCTCTCTGCAGGCTGCAGTGTGGCACTTCTGCCGGTGACAGCAGAAAAGTAGCACTGCTGCCGTCCTCACACTATGGCCAATCGTCTCATCATGCATCTGCAGCCTGTGTCCCTGGGACTAGGGGCAAGGAAGAGGTGAGAACCGGGGTGGGAAAGGAGGCAGATTTAAGGCAAAAACCCCACGTATGAGCAGGTCACTGGAACAATGGAGATTCAAGGAAGGGAGGTACAGGAGGAAGGCTCAGATGGTGTGAAAAAGGAGCTGACAGAAAGACTGAGATGGAGGAACCTGGAAGGACATTAGAGGGGATGAAGAGAATGGAGGAAAGGTGAAGAAGGGAGCAAAGGATAGTGGAGAACTTGGATGAATCATCAGAAGCAACAAGGAGAGGGAGACACAACACTGGGGAATATGACAGAGGAAGACAGCAAACCAACAATGGGATACTTGGGGATGAAATAAAAGGGTTGGCTGGAGAGAGAGAGAGTGACAGCAGAGACTGGGGGAGGAAGAACAGATATGGAAAGGGGGAACAGACCAGTGACAGAGACACAGGAAGGTGGGGAGATCTGGGAAATGGGATAAGGAGAAGTCTAACAGCAGGGAAGGGAACAGGAGAAAATGGACAAAAAGAATGGGGGAGGGGAAAATGCACAACCAGAAGTCAGTATATTAACCAACCCACAGAAGTGTCTTAAGTTCTGCAAAATTTATCATATGCTGTCAGGATTAATGCAAACTTATGCAAATTAATTGTCCTGTTACTCTGAAGGGCTTCAGGCTGCTTTTCAGACATGCTCATGATAGAGCCAACACCAAAGAGCAAGCAAAGGAGGCTGATCATTGATGCTGTGCTTTTTTCGGGGATAAGAACACATCCCAGTACACCAGCCATTGCTTTTGGAGGACACCCAGCAAAGCCCCAACCTGACACAGAAGCTTGCAAGATGGACTGACGCAGACCCAGATATGTACAGTACTCCCAACATATCCTAAATCCCAGGACTTCAGCAGTAAAACTGGTTCAGCTCTTTCTCGTTATGTGCAGCTTAAATGTAAAGGTATTGCAAATCGCACCTTTGAAAAACAGATACCACTTGCCCTCATTAAAACAACACAGCTCCCATGACATTTTCATGTCTGGATGGGAAGCTTGTTTACAGTCTCATAACCCCACTGTGCAGTGGTTTCCACTGACAACAAAAGCCTGCTCCATATAAAATATTCTTCTATTTGTGGCAGATGATGTAACTGCTCTTATTGCCCTATATATCTATTCCTCAGAAGAAGAAAATTGAGTCATGGGATCTGATACTCAACAGCGGTGTGAAATTCAGAGCAAAATCAAGAAAACCAGTAAGTCGTTCCTACATCTACTGCAATTTTGATGAGTACTGAAACACACAGAACTACAGACTCCATAAGCTGAGTATTTACCTGCAGGCAGATTTAAGAAAATTGTGTCTCCCTGTTGCCACCTTTTTTTCTTTCACAAAGATTGATCAGTAGCATCCAAGGCCACAAAATCATTTCACTTGTGCTCTGCCAACATACTGCAGTACTGCTCTAGCTGTACTCCCAAGATATGAGCATGGTCGACTCCCTGGTCACAGACTCGGCCTTTGGTTTCAGCTGACAGAGCTCAAGGTTTGGTTTTCCCCCTAAATGGTGTGGCTCACGGAGGGAAACCCACCACAATACGGTGTCTCACCATATGCAGACCTCAACATGCTCACAGCACCAAACAATGCTATTGTTGTATCTGATGGTGAATATAAGCAAACAGCTGTAACAACATATGTCACCATTACAGAAGTCCTTGGGAAGAATAAGTTCCAGGTAAGGCACATCTGAACGCCAGGCTACTCAACTGAACAGCAAACAACAGCTACAACCCTGATCTTGTTCACAACCCTCTGCATGCAACATTCCATGACAGGAATTTATTTCTTGCAGATACCTTCTTATTACAGTAGTTTATATATAGAGAGAGCTGTTCTTCCTTCCTTTTCCGTATTTCTTCGATTGACTGGTTCTCCATTTTGTCCTCAATTTTCTGCAGCAGTGGGTCTGAAACATCCTCAAGCCATTTCTTGTACAGGATCTCCTTCTTTCTCAGATTTAAGAAATCATTGTGCCTCAAATATCTGTCCACCTCCTAAGTAAGAAATGAAAAATAAAAACCATGCAACCTTTTGGCCAACCATGTTAAAGATTCTGCAGGTGAAGCTACGCAGCTTGGCTGAGCTGATCTGACTGGTCACTGCTGGAAGGGACCTGTTTTCCAGCCTTTCTGCTCCTCTCTCTCTCCACTTCCCACCACTTGTTTCCAAGCTCTCCCTTGCATGAGCTGTCGCATTCAGACTCTAATTTTTTGAGCTGCAAAACTGGCAGAAAATATTTCACCTTCTCCCACCAGGTTAGTGAGGTGAAATCACTTGAGAGCAGGTGTCTGCTAAGCACCAGCCTGTGCAAGCCAGGCAGCAGGAGAAGGACCTTCTCCCTGCAGCACTGGCAATCCGCTAGATCAGATCAGATCAGCCCTCCCGCCCTTTATTCACAGGCCCACTGTCACCATGTAATCGCACCCACAGAACAAAAATTAGGTACAAACAGACAGGCAAGCCACCAAAGACAGGTGATTCCTAGGCTCGTATTTAGTTACCACTTCAGTCCTATCCTGAGGAGACTGAGGAAGCCAGATACTTGTACTTCTCCATTTAGTTTTTCAAGAACACAGACAATAGACATTTTCTCATTAATTACTGTTGGAGAGAAAAAACATTGACATGGAGAAAAGCACAGAGCAAATGAGAGAAGAGATACCACTTCTTACCCTCACAAAATAATTTTCTCTGTCCAAGATGCACTCAACAGAAGCAATGATGTCTTGACTTTCATCAAGTGCTGCCTAACAAAGCATCAAAAAACAACATCAAGTAAAAGTAGGACTTACAGTAGGAGTTAGAATTACTTTTGAAATCAAAATAATTACTTGTGTTGTAATTAAAGGCACATTTTACCATAACACAGCTGGCAGAATAGCACAGGCAGGAAATCCTTGCAAGACTTGCCCTGAACAGTTAGATTAAATGTAGAACAGAAGAGTGCTGGAAAAACTGGAATCCTTATGTTTAGTGGGACCAGTCCGTACACCTCCCTGGCTGCTCCTCACAGCGACCACACCACCACTTGCTCCTCGACACTGTTCCTCACAGGTGCACAGAAAGGTAGCAAGAGGCATCTCTCAGCACCTTCATTTTTCATACAGATACAGCCACACTGCACAAATAGCAATCAAACAACTTAAAACTGTGATGAGGTATTATGTCAAGGAATTCATAAAAGTATGAAAGGAAAAACAGAGGAAAACAGTGAAGTGTAGGAGATAATGAGAAAAACCTCTCTGAAGCGGGACACTACCTCGCTGCTCTCTCCGCTCATTAATCTGTCTGCATTTTAGATCTCAGTTACTGTTGTGACATCAGATAAGCTCTCTTCTAGTACCATTCTCATCTTATTCTTTCTGAAGATCAGAATAAGGAGAAACTGTTACCTGCATTGTGAATATCAGGACACTAAATGGTGTAAGAACAACAGCCCTTGCAGGGCACTGCTGTTGTCAGGCTGATTTTTAACCAGGTAATTCCTTGTAACATGTGGCTTGTTAACTGCAACTCCTGCACTCCAGCCAAGGAGCCCAAGCAATACAGACCTAATTCGTCTGTCATTTGGGGATGGAGTCCTTCCAAGCAAGATTAGGGCACCCAGGCAATGGGGGTATCTCCTCTATGATCAGGCAGCACCAACTCTGTTGGTTAACCAGAGGGATCTTGTCTTCATGAGTCAAACAGCAGCTTTTATAAGCAACAAGTTCACAAAGAATTTTAATTCCATGGCACAATTTATGTTGAAGAATCCGCTATTAAAAAAATCACCAGCTTTTCAGCACTATGCCAAAAATTCCGGAGGTAAGTTGCAATTCAGGAAACTAAATCACAACCTGTTTTAGACAGACCACCTCAGTTAAAAAAGATCTACAATCTCTTCTGCTGCCTGGGACTAACCCTCAATTTAGACACTGACAGGAACTTGTTCCACTTGCACCAGCCAAAGAGAACAGGCATGAAACCGAGTTCCTACAGCTTCCTAAATGATGACGTTAGCTGCTTTGCTGTATACAGCGCACTGTCCTGGTTTCAGCTGAGCTAGAGCTAATTTTCTTCTTAGCAGCTAGAATAGCACTGTGTTTTGGATTCAGTACAGGACCTGCTATGACAAGAATGTTGATAATATACTGATGGTTTTAGTTACTGCCAAGAAACCAAGGACTTTCCAACTTCCCATGTTTTGCTGATGTGCAGGTGCACAAGAAGCTGTGAGGGAGCATAGCTAGAGCAATGAACCCAAACTGGCCAATGGGATATTCTGTATCATACAGCAGTCATACTATTTTATTTATATAAAAA